TCGACTCTGCCGCGCTCGCCTGCCGCATCCTCCCCCTCGTCCTCATTGTCCTCCTCGCCCTCCTCTCCGTTTCCCATGTCTCGTTTCCGATCATCCTGCCTTCCCCGCTCTCCCTTTTTCACACTCGTCCTGCTCTGTTCTCTCTTCTGTTGCTCGTCCTCCTCTTCTCCTTGTCCTGTTTGTCCTCTTTCCCCTTCTCTTCTTCCTTCTCCTCGGCTTCCTCTCCCGTTCCCTTTTCCTCTGCGTCCTTGCCATGCTCTCCGTTATCCCTTCCCTCATTTGCCTCTGTCCCGTTATCCTCCCTGTCCTCCTCAGCGTATTACTGCCATTTGCGGCTCAGCCTGGGCCCTCCTGACAGGCGCTGTCTCCTTGGGCCTGATCTAGCCCGATCCGGCGTGGCTCGATTCAGTCCAGCCTAATCCAGCCTGGTCCGGCTTACGCTTACTCCTGAATTGCATCGAGCTCATACCAGGCAGGCCCAGACTGAGGACAAGTCGCCCCAGAGCGTTCCGCAGCGCTCTCAGAGCATGTCCGAGCGCTCTGAACGGCCGCTGAGCCCGACACGTATGCATCCTCCAGACCTTCGGGCTCTCTCAGAGATTCTCGACCTATCCTCGATCCGATGTTATCCCCATCCAGCTCACCAGCCCCCGAAGCAGGTCCGACAGCCCCGAGCCGTCCCCACGACCCCAGACGTGCGATGGGATGTGTTCTCCGACGCGGGGTTCCCCGACGCCCCGACCCTTCTCGTTCCGATCAGTTCTGCGACAGTCTTCCGGTGTGTATATGTGTATATGTGTGTGCGTGCGTGTGTGCGTGTGTGCGTGTGTGCGTGTGCGTGCGTGTGCGTGCGTGTGCGTGCGTGTGCGTGCGTCTGCGTGCGTCTGCGTATGCGTGCGTGCGTTTGCGTGCGTGCGTGCGCGTGCGCGTGCGTGCGTGCGTGCGTGCGTGCGTGCGTGCGTGCGTGCGTGCGTGTGTGTGTGTGTGTGCGTGTGTGCGCGTGTGTGGGTGTGCGTGTGTGTGCGTGTGTGTGTGTGTGTTGTGTATGTGCGCGTGTGTGCGCGTGTGCGCGTGTGCCGCGTGTGCGCGTGTGTGTGCGTGTGCGCGTGTGCGTGTGCGTGCGTGCGCGCGTGCGTGCGTGCGTGCGTGCGTGCGCGCGTGCGTGCGTGCGTGCGTGCGTGCGTGCGTGAGTGCGTGCGTGCGTGCGTGCGTGCGTGCGTGCGTGCGTGCGTGTGTACATATATATATATATATATATATATATATATATATATATATCCCCGTGCACGACGCCCGGGCGCCCAGGGCGGCTGCCCCGAGGGGGCATGGGAGTACCATGGCTCATTTTCCTTGTGTTTTTACAGGGTTTCCGCGTCCTGGGCCTCGGAGGCCGCCGCCTCCGACCCCCCGTGGGAGGACGGGGCGGGAGGTCCAAAATAGTCCAGGAGGGCCTCCAGAGGCTCCCAAGACGGCCCAAGCGGGCCCCGAGTCGCCGAAAGACGGCTCCAGGACGCCCAAGATAGGCCCAAGACGGCCCGAGAGGCCCCCCAAGGCACTCCACGGCGCTTCAAGACGCCTCTCCAGAGCGCTTCAAGAGGCCGAAATCGTCAATGTTACGAAGGTTTCCGAACGATTTTGGCCTTCCAGCCTTTTCGGCTGTCCGACGTTCCAAGACGGCTCAATAGGCCCCCAAGAGCGCCCCAAGACGGCCCAAGAGGGCCCCAAGACGGCCCCAGAGTCGCCCAAGACAGCCCAACAGAGATCCAAGACGGCCCCAAGATGCGCCCAAGAGGGGGACCACGACTCCAAAATTCGACCCTCCCGCTTGAAAAGTGCCCCAGGAGGCCCCAAGGAGCCCCCAAGAGGCCCCAGGAGGCCCCCAAGAGGCACCCAGGAGGCCCAAACGAGGCCTAAAGATGCCACGAAACAGCCCCGAGGAGGCCCCAAAACGGTCCCAAAACGGCTACCGAGAAGCTGCGAAACTGCCTTCACGACGTCCACACAGGCCAACCACGAGATCTAAACCAACACCCATGAGGCCTCTGACCCACCACCCAGGGCACTGGCGGGAGCTGACAGCACTTGTGCACAGCATGTTCCGGCGGGAGCCTTCCGGAACACGCTGCAGGAGAAGGAGGAAGATCAGGAGGAGAGGGAGTTGGAGTGGGAGGAGGAGGAGGGGGACGAGGAGGAGGAAGAGGCCTCCAAGACAGCTCCAAGATAGCCGAAGAGGCTTCCAAGAGGGCCCTGGGCGGCCCACGAGGGTCCCAAGGCGGTGCCTGAGGCGCCCAAGAAGGCCCGAGAGGGCCCCAAGACGGCCCCAAGAGAGGCCCAAGAAGGGAAACCTGAACTGAGAATCCGAGCTTTCTACCCCGAGAGATTCTCGGGAAGTCCCAAGAGGCCCCCAATCGGATCCAAGAGACCCCCAAGAAGCTCCCAAGAGGGCCGACGAGGTTCCAAGAGATCTCCCAAGGTGGCCCCAAGAGGCAGAACTCATCGTTTTACGATTGGGCTTTGACGGGTTTTAATGTTTCTGCCTTTTGGCATCCCGATGCTCCAAGACGGCCCAAGAGGCTTCCAATACCGCTCCAATATAGAGGAAGAGGCCTCCAAGAGGGCCCCAAGACGGTCCGAAGGGCCCCAAGACGGTGCTTGAGGCGCCCAAGACGGCCCGAGAGGGCCCCAAGAGCACCAAGAGAGGCCCAAGAAGGGGAACGCGACCCGACAGCAGAGCGTTCCCCCCAAAAGGCCCACGGGAGGCCGCAAGAGGACCCCAAAAGCTTCCCGAGGGCCCAAAAGGCCTCTAGGAGACGTCCAAGAGGTTTTAAAATGGCCCAAGAGTGCCCTCGATGCGTCAAAACTGCTTCCAGGAGGCCCTCGGGAGGCTTCCGGATTGCCTCAATCTGGCCGCAGGTGGCCTCAAGTCGGGCCTCCACGCAGCCAAGACGGCCAATGACGGCTTCAGATTGCAGAACCGATGCCCCCAAGGGACCCTCAGACGCCCCCCCAAGAGGCACCCAAGAGGTGCCTCCAACAGCCAGTTGACGAAGCATGCGGAACACCCCAGAAGCTCCTCAGATGCCGTCGCGCGCCTGTGCTCGATAGCGTTGTCCAAGATCCTCCAGCGCCCCCCCGGCCTGGACTAGAATCTGAGCGCGCGCGAAGCGCGCGCGATGGTTCTAGTAAATAAAAATATATACATATCAGTGCGGGGTCCCCAGAAGCCCCGACCCTTCTCGTCCCCCGAGTCGTTGCTCGACAGTCCCAGGGGCCCGGCGAGGAGAGGGCCCCCCCGAGGCCGAGCACCGGGCGCTGCGTGATGGGCGGCGTCGGGGGCGGACAGAGCCCCCACCCTGACACGTCGATTCGTGTGATGGGCTCGTTTTCCACCACCATCACCACCATAAGTTGTAGGGGGGAAGGAGGATGACGAGGAGGATGAGGAGGAGGAGGAGGAGGAGGAGGAGGAGGAGGAGTAGGAGGAGGAGGAGGAGGAGGACCCGCTCCCCCTCCAAGTTATGGTGGTGGTGGTGGTGGTGGAAAATTCGCCCATCATCGTGAATTGTCCGTTTTCGGTTCTCGAGAGGGCGCCGCGGCCGTCATTTTCCAGGCCAGTTGGTCGCCGCCACCATCAGGCGACGCCCAGAAAGACGACGAAGCAAAGACGTCTTGCTCTTCTCAGGACACTGGCTGCCTGGCCTCCCCTCCCCATCCTCGCCCTCTTCCTCGTCCTCTTCCTCCTCGCCCTCCTCTCCTTTTGCCCATGCCTCATTTCCGATCACCCCGCCTACACCGTGCTCCCCTGTCTCATCCCCGTTTTCCCCATCTCATCCCCGTTCTCCCTGTCGCATCCCCGTTCTCCCCTGTCTCATCCCCGTTCTCCCCTGTCTCATCCCCGTTCTCCCTGTCTCGTCTCCGTTCTTCCTCTGCCTCCTCCTCCTCCTCTCCCCTCCTCTTCCCCGTCCCCCTCCCCCCCGAGCCTCCCCGAGCTGCCTGCGCCGCCAAGCCCGGCCTCAGCCGACCGTGGTGGCGGTGAAGGGAGGCGAAGCTCTCGATGGGGCGGGTACGACGGCGCCCTTTGGACGACGACGACGACGGCGACGACGACAGCGTCTCTCCCACGCCGCAGGGTCGGCGGATGAGAAAGGTAGTTTTTCCTAACCATCCTATGGTGTTGGGTCTTCGTCTTGAAGAGACAGCGCCCTGCGTCTCATTCACTTCCTCCCGCTGCCCCCTCCCTCCCCGTCCTCCCGTCCGTGCCTTTCTCTCCGCACCAGTCAACCATGTCGGCACACTTCTCACACGCTTCGTGGCCCCATAAGGAGATCCACCGAGAACCCAAGCGGCTGCGCTCACATGGCACCGCCGCGCCCGTTTCGGCACACCTCTCACACGTTTCGTGGTCCAATGGGGAGCTCCACCGAGGGCCCCAGAGGCTGCGCTCGCATGGCACCGCCGCGCCCATGTTGGCACACCCTTCACATGTGTCGTGGCCCCGTAGGGAGCTGCACCGAGGTCCGCAGTGGCTGCGCTCGCATGGCACCGCCGCGTCTATTTCGGCACACCCCTCACACGTTTCGTGGCACCATATGGAGTTCCCCCGAGGGCCCCAGTGGCTGCGTTCGCGTGGCACCGCCGCAGCCATGTTGGTACACCCTTTACACGCTGCGTGATCCCACTGGGAGTTCACCCGAGGGACCCAGAGGCTTCGCTCGCATGGCACCGCCGCAGCCCATTTCGGCACACCCTTCACACATCACCGAGGTCCCCAGTCGCTGCGCTCGCAGGGAACCACCGCGCTAATTTCGGAGCTTCGCCGAGGGCCCCAGAGGCTGCGCTCGCATGGCACCGCCGCGCCCATTTCGGCACACCCCTCACACGCTTCGTGGCCCCATAGGGAGCTCCACCGAGCACCGAGGGCCCCAGTGGCTGCGCTCGCATGGCACCGCGGCACCTATTTCGGCACACCCCTCCCGCGCTTCGTGGCCCCATAGGGAACTCCACCGAGGGCCCCAGAAGCTGCGCTCGCATGGCGCTACCGCACTCGTTTCGGCACACCCTTCACACGCGTTCGCATGCGCCCACCGAGCCCGTGTCGGTACGTCCCTCACACGTTGCGTGGCCCCATACAGAGCTCCACCGAAGACGATATTCATAATTGCGTCAACCACAACCGCACATGGTTGGGTCTTTCAGAACGCTCATTACATTTTGAGATTGGGGTCTTGTTGTTTCTCACACGCCTCCGGCTCACCTCTCATCCCTCCTTTTTCTTTTCCTCCTCCTCCTCTTCTTCCCCCTCCTCCTCCTCATTCTCTTAGCCTCTGGGTTCGAGAGATTCAAACCAACGGGGCCCGAGATTCTGAATTCAGTATGAAGCGCATGGCGCCTCTTCGACCGCGCGGTCGTCGCTCCGCGACGGGGTGGTGACCACCGACATGACGAAGCTGCGGGTGCTGGGCTGGAACCCATTGTGGGCCACTGGCGGTCGCCTCGCGGAGATCGCCAGTTGCACGCGCAACATGGACTTCACGCTCCTGGCTGGCACCCAGAACGTCTGCCGCGAGGCGTCTCACGTCCTCCAGCGGCGGGTCGGTGGGCGATTGGCGATTGGCTCTCGAAGCTGCAGCAAACCCAGGCTTGTACACCAACGCTGGCGCTGGTGTCCCCATCCTACTAGGACGTGGGTTTCGTGAACATCACGTTCGTCGTGTTTTTTCCCAGCCCACATGACGTGGGCGGCCGATGCCTGGCGGCCAGGATCCGCCAAGGCGTTGTGGACGTGTGCGTGGGCGTGCTTTACTTCCCTCCTCAGCCCCGCAGTCGCGGGGCGGGCCCACGCCACTCGCAGACTGTTGCCAAGATGGTCCAGTGGTGGCGCACGTGTCTCTCACAGCTGCCTGCGCGCTGCCTCCCATTGTTTTACGCCGACGTCAACGATGGCCTGGGCTGCCGCAAGATCGACGGCGACTGGACATACTATGCGACTAGTGCCATTGGCAGGATACTCGCGCGCGGGCGACGCCGACAGGGTGCTGGAGAGGCAGTGGGCGGCCTTTTCGCTCAGCAGCACCTCCTGGCAGCCAACGCGCCGGGCAGGTACGGGGCGACTTTTTCTGGCAGCGGGCCTGAGGGCCCAAGTCGTCTCATCGACTTTGTCGTTCTTCCGCAGGGCTGGGCGTCCCACATAGTCAAGTGCCACACGTTGCACAGGGTGGGCGCCCAGCTCCAGGCCCAGCGAGGCCGACCTCCACGCGATCACGTGCCAGTATATCTTGAAGTTTCACACCCGCGAGGATCTCGTGACTGCCAGGACCAACCTGATACACCCAAGTGGGACATGACGGCCCTCAGGGCGGCGGCCAAGCGTGGCCACCAGCGCATGGGCTTCGCGAGCGGCGTCGCCCAGTGGATGGGCGACCACACCGCGGAGCTCGCAGCAGCCCGCGACCAGGGCGCCCCCGACCACGCCTTCGAGCTGCTCGAGCGCTGCACGGCCGAGGTTGGCGCCGAGTATTTCACGAAGTCGACGGGCGTTCCCGACGAGCACGCGCACTGGGCGAAGTTGAGGCGCGACTTGCTCCAGAAGCGGATTGACATGCGCGCCCCGCGCGCGACGGTGGACGACGCGGGGCTGGAGCAGGTGGAGCACGACCTTCGCGATCTCTCTCAGCGGCCCATACTTCTCCGACGAAAAAACATGCACATGCGGTTCGGGAGTCCTACGTCCAGGCCTCATACGATGCATGGGCCCAGAGGAACCTCTGCGAGACCATGGGGTGGGCCCGTCGTGCTGCCCGATGCCGCTTTTTTGCTGAAAGGCGGGGCGGGCGACGCTTCGGCGGCGCCCCCATCGCGCACGAGGAGTGGCTCGCCGTCTGGTTTATTCCTGCTGGCGATGGCGGGATGCTGGTCCACCCGATCGACCTAGGCGCCTGGCGTGCCACTCGTGATGATATGGACATGAGTCAGATCTATGACATTGCCCGCTATGGTGATCGCCATCAACAGCTAGGATCTAGTGAGATTCGGCGCCTTCGTAAATACGTTCGTCGAACCCCGAAGCGCCGAGTTGTTCCAGGGGGTCGGCCCCACCTGAGCTTTTGTGGCAGCTCCTTCACCCCTATCGAGGCATGGCAAGTCAGCGCCCTGGTCTTGGAGCCCCACGAGTTCCCGAGGGGCCCACGCGTTTCCTGGAGACCCTCCTGTGTGGGACGATGAAAATCAGGATCACCGACCTGGCCCCGTTATATTGGAATGTGAGTCGAGGTTGTGTTTTGCATAAGTCGGCCCAGCCTGGGCCTAAGGGCAAAAAGGTGGTCCACGTGCTGCCTGTGGTGGGGAAATCTTTCTTCGCGGAGCTGTTGCCCAACGATTTGCCTCCTGAAGGTTATGGGTTCCAGCGTCGTCGTCGCCGGGAGGGGGCCATCGCGGCCTTGCAGGCGGCGGGCTGGAGACTTCGACGGGCGGGATGGAGCTTTGGAGCCAGTCTGAAGGATATGAGTCACGCGCTCGGGAGCTCTAGCTGGGAGGCCATGGACCATTCCAGATCTACTATTGTACAGCCTGAACATGTTGCACTTTGTAAGAATAGGCATCGTGATGCAGGCGTTCTACTTCCTAGTGATAAGGGGGATCTAACAGTTAAAACAGGAGTGGGGGGAGTGATGGGGGACCCGTTCATGGTGGCCGTTTGTTCTACCACCTTCTGCCGCCCTGTGCTGACGGGCGCTCTGCGCCAGGTCGATCCGCCCCTCGGGCTTCTCCGCGCTGAATGGGGCGGCCACGAGGTCGACCTTAGTTGGCGCAAGTGTGCTGACGACCTCTACCGCGACACTCTCATTGCCCATAGGGGCTCCATGGGGAGTTTCTTGGCTGAGCTCAAGTATTCAGATGATTGTCTCGACTCCCTCCTCCGGGACTACGGGCGCAAACAACGTCGGAACAAACGGGAGTTGGCCGTCTGGATCGAGGGGGGGGGGGGGGGCTGGCTTGCAAGAAGTGGCTTCGCGGGCCTGGTCGGGCCCTCCTCTCCGGGGAACTCAAGGAGGAGGTCAGACATCTTGGGCCCCGCATCGCGATGTCCCAGGCGCCCAGCCAGGAGATCGCCCGTCGTCGCCAGGCAGCTCGTGCCGCTTTTTACTCGATGAGCGGTTTCTGGTCTTTCAGATTGCCGTGGAAGCTCACGCGCTCGATTTTTATGCCATTGGTTCAGAATTCAGCCCTGTGTGGCTTGGAGGCCTTCTTGATCCCCAAGCAGCAGAGTGCCAGTTTAGATGCCGCGGTGGCGCACTTCGCCCGCGTGGCCATGCGCGGCAGGGCCAGCTGGCAGACAGAGCGTGGAGCGACCCGCACGTTGACGACAAAAGGAGTCCTCAGGCACTGGCGCGTCTGTGAGACGCACGTCGAGCTCGGGATTCGTCGTCTGAACTGGTGCAAGGTTTGGTCTCGCCACCCGTCCTGCCACCTCCAGTTGCTCTCCGCCCTCTTCGGCTCCGTGCCCTGGGAGATAGGTATGGCCCCCATGGTCGACGGCGTGCTCATTTCAACGGCCTCCCCGTGGGCCCGACGTGTCGTTGAAGATTTACGATGGGCCCATGAGCTCCTTCCAGATTACGGTGACCTTCTAGGATGTCTCGCCGCCCGCCCCGGTCTCTTGCGGGGTCCCGAGGTCCAGAGTGCGTTCGAGAATATCGATTTCACGGCTATTCGATCGTGCACGTTCGGTTCGCGGTTCGCGCCCCCCGAGTGCACGGAACAGGCCCCCGAGGCTCTCCCTCGGGAACTCTTGGGCCCCGAGGCTCCCAAGTTCGTTTGTCTGGTCGCTGAATGTGGTGAACGTTTTACTACAACATAAGGCCTCATGGCACATATGCGATCTCAACATGATTATCGATATCTTTGCCACGTCCTAACACCATGCAATACATGTATATGCTGTCGGGAAGTCTTCTGGGACAGGGCTCGCGCAGCTCGGCACCTAGTACTAGCCGCGCAACGGGGGCATTGTCTTTTCGGTGGGGGTAGGGCGCTGCGACCTCTGACACCTCCGTCGACCCTGCAGTGCCCCCTATGCGAGTTCGAGGCTTCTGACTTGGACTCTCCGTGCCGGCATCTACGTGGCCGTCTCCCTGGCCCAGTTCTCCCTCGGCAGCGGCGCAGCCTCGTGGGCGCCCCGAGCGTCGCCCTTGGCAATGTCCCAGGCGGCGGCGGCGCGTTGGATGCAGGGGCCTTCGGCGACTGTGAAACGCGGAGCAGATGGGGCCCGCGGCTCGGCGCCGAAGGAGAAGGGCGACCTCCAGGCTGCGCCGTTGAAGGCGATCGCAAAGTTGTGCCTCGACGACGCGCGCGAGTTGGCCAATCTCGCAGGCGCCGTCTACCAGACGTGGGAGGCGACCGAGGCGGCGGGCCTCGAGCACGACGAGTCTTCAAACGACCTCAGGGAGCGCCAGCAGGGGGGCGAGAGCGTCGACTTCAGAGCAAGGGGGCCGCCGCGCGCGCCGGTGTGGGGAGCGCTCGCCATGAGCCGAGCGAATCAGATGGACTCATTCCTCGACGGCAGCGAGACCTACAAGGAGAGCGAGAAGAAGGAATTCCACGAGTACTTCCAGAAACGCCTGGCCCAGAAGCAGCCGACGGACGCGGCCAAGCATGCGCTCCACTTCCGCTGGAAAAAGTCCAAGCCGAAGAAGAACCAGGTCGGGGCCACGATGGCGGCGGAGGAGAAGAAGGGCAGGCCCACCTTCGCTTTTTCGTACGACGAGCCAGGCAGGGAGGCGAGGTCGCTGTTGATGCAGTTTCTGAACTCGGACAAGGCCACGGCGACGCAGCTCGCGGGGCCTGCCCCGAGGGGGCCTCTCGAGCGCGAGGCGGCGAGGCCTCTCGCGATCTTTGAGAAGGGCGGCAAGGACAAGGATCAGGATCAGGAGAGCTGAATCAGAGGAACGACAGGAGTCGTTCGCGTGAGCGTGAGAGGCCCCGAGAAAAACGGTGTCTGAGTAGATGGGCCTTTGCAGGTAGCGAGCGATTAGCAGCTCTAGTGGCCCGAGGGGCCATCCCGGACCCCGTCGAGGCCACCAGTTTCGGTGCATACTGTAATCCCGATCTTCCCCCGACCCCCTCAGTAGTGGCGGCTAAACGGGCTCCGCGCAGAGGGGGAAAGGGTAAGCAAGATGCTCGCGGTAGACCTAGCTCGTCGGTCCCCTAGACGGCCCCCTTCGCACGCCTGCGCGGCGTCTGGGTTCGCCGTCGTCTCAGGGGCAGCGCTGGCTCTGCCAGAAGGGGGGGGGGGGGGGGCCCTTGTCTTTTTCACGGTTCGCCCGCCTCCCCATGAAGTCGGGTTGCGCAGAGTTCACTGCCGGATTTTTGGCATGAGATCGAGTAACTCATTTGGGCTCCCCGCGCATTGCTCATTGCTCATTCCTCCTCCTCCTCCTCCTCCTCATCCCCCCCCTCCTCCTCCTCCTCCCCTCCTCCTCCTCCTCCTCCTCCTCCTCCTCCTCCTCCTCTTCCTCCTCCTCCTCCTCCTCCTCCCCCTCCTCCTCCTCCTCCTCCTCCTCCTCCTCCTCCTCCTCCTCCTCCTCCCTCTCCTCCTCCTCCTCCCCCCCCCCTCCTCCTCAGGTGGCCCGTGTGATTCTGGCGAGGCCGAAGGGGTCGGCCCGTTCTCTCCCTGTGCCCCCAGCCGAACGCCCGCGGCGCGAGGCGTCGGTCACTCTTCCACATCCCTCCCATATCTCGCTCGCCCGAGTGGCACCGCCGCCTTCGCAGGCGGCGGGCGCGGGCGCGCAGCGTCCTGCGGCGCCGGCGCGCCGCGGACATTCTGGCTGGGCATCGCGGCGAAACCGTGCCAGTCTCGGGCGCCGCATGGCAAGGCGGCGGCGCGATCGCCGGTGGCGGCTCCTCGGGCGGGGGCTCCTCGGCTCACAGCTGCGACGGGCCACGCGGGCGCGCCTGGCGACCAGGCCGCGCGGGTTCTCCACAAACTTTCAGGACAGGGCGACGCGCTACCGCTGCGGGCGGGATCGGCAAGGTCGCACGCCTGATCCTGGAGCTCCTCGCGCCGCCGGTGGCCGCGCGCCCTAGCTGCCCAGGTCTCGGGGCAAGCCTCGCGGCAAGCATGGATTCAAGCAGGTGCGCAGAGCGCGTGGCAGCGCTGTGCGCCACCCCACCAAAGCGGACGAAACACAGGAGTGAGAAGGAGGAGGAGGAGGAGGAGGAGGAGGAGGAGTAGGAGGAGGAGGAGGAGGAGGGGGCGGAGGGGCGGGGGTGGAGGAAGAGGAGAGAGGGCGGGAGGAGGTCCCCCTCATCATCATCCTCGCTCCTCCTCCTTCTCACTGCCCTGCTCTGCCACTATGCCTCCTTGCCCCTCCCTCGCCCCCCTCGCGCCCGCCTTCCTTGTTGTCGACCACCCTCCTGTGAGTCCTTATCCTCATCATCCTTCCTCATCTTTCTTATCCTCCATCCACCCTTATTATTTTTCTTATTCATAGTCTTATTATTATTGGTCGTCTTCTTCTTCTCTGTTAACGTCGTTATCTTTCTGCTGCTTCTTCCCCTCCTCCTTTTTCACCTTGTCCTCCTCCTCCTCCTCCTCCCCCCCCCCCCCCCCCCCCCCCTCCTCCGCCTTCCTCCTCCGCCTCCAGCCCCAAGCGCCAACAGCGCTCGCGGGCGGCGGCCAGCCAGCCGCGAGGCCACCGCCAGGCGGCCGCCGCCAGGCGGCCTTCTCGCCGCGGGGGGAGAAGGAGGAGGAGATGGAGGAGGAGGGGGAGGACGAGGAGGAAGGAGAGGGGGAGGCGGAGGAGGAGGCGTAAGAGGAGAAGGAGGAAGGAGAAAGGGCGGGTGGATGACGACGACGAGGAGGAGAGGGCTGGAGCGGAGGGGGGAGAGAAAAGAAAGGCGAGGAGGAAAAGGAGGGGTGGTCTGAGAAGGCGACGGCGATGTCAGGTAGCAACGGGGGGGCAAGCAAACAAGGTAAAAGGTCGAGCTTGAGTATCAGCAGGGGGCAGGATATGAGTCATGCAGTGGAGCAGGAGAATAGCGCCAACGAGTTAAAGAAGAAAGAGGGGAACGGGGTAAGCGACAGCGCGAAGTGGGGGTCGCCTCCTTTTCTCCTTTTGGGGGCAAGCTCTGGCGATGAAGGACGTGGCGATGTTGATGACGATGCTGATGTTGAAGATGATGATGCTCAACTCACGCTGTGCCGCAACGCGCTATGCGCCGCGGTATGTTGGTGGCGAGGCACGGGCCCGGGGGCCGCCACGAGCCACCACTGGGGCAAGCTAGGCGATTCCAACGACGTGCTGGCCATTCGCTGGATTGCTGAACTCCACCGCCGCAAAACCACATAGCGCCCGCGCGCGCTACGCGGCGGTAGCGCCTAGGGACGCGGAACGCAACGTAGGAACGAATGGGCCAACATTGAATTCAAAAGGGTCTGTTGCGCTCATCCTTCTCCTGCTCTTCTCCTCAATCCTCTCTCTCCTTCCTTCTTCTCCTCCTCCTTCTCCTTTTCCTGATCCTCTCTTCTTCTTCCCCCCCTCTCCTAGCCGCCCCGAAGCCCTCGAGGCTTGCCGAGGTCCTCCGACGCATTCACGCTGCGGAATTTGGCAGGCGGAGGCGTCGCGGCGGGCGCTGAAGATGGCGAGGAGGATGTTGCCCCTTCTCCCGGCAGCGGCGGCGCCCTGCCGCCGTTGCTGCCGCTGCTGCTGCTGGCTGGCGCTGCCGCGGCAGTCGACTCTTGCCAACGTAGTGCCGACCAATAATTCGCGGCTCCTGCGACGGCGACGACGTCTCCTCGTCGTCGGAGCAGCTGGCGGCCATGGTCAGCTGCGGGGGGGACTGCGCCATCGGCGCGTGACATGGCGGCGTCGTCGCAGGGGGCGGCGGCCAAGGGCCGCCGTCGGGGCTCTGGTTGCGGTAGAAGCGGTCGAGGATTGTCCTCGGTCGGCGGATCGTCATCCGGCCCCCCCCTCCTCGCCCCCCCTCCTCTTCCTCCCCCCATTCCTTTCTTCCCCCCTTCCTCCTCCTTTCTCCTCCTCCTCTTTGTCATTCGTATCCTGCGTCATCCTCCCCGTCGTTTTCTCCCTCCTCCTGCTCCTCCTCCCCCCCCTCCTCTCCGTCTCTCCTCCTCTTTCTCGAGCCGACGTGCGCGGGCGGGGGTGTGTCGTAATTTTTGCGTGCGTTGATCCTGCGGCGCCCCGCCGTCGCCTCGCCAACGCACGGCTTGCGCAACCCGGCGGCGCGGTGCCCGTGCTGACGCCAGTAGTGACCACGCGTGGCACAGAAGAGGAACTCGCGATGGTCCGCCAAGCTGAACAGGTGCGGCCGGGCGATGTGCACTTGACCAAGAAGTCTATGGCCCCGCGGCGACGCCCAGAACATGGGCACGGACGACTCGTGCCGGAATAACGGCGGGGGAGCCTGCGCCGCCAACATGTCCTGGTCGCGCTGGCCAGCAGCCGCCAGCCGGCACGGCTGCGACTGGCGCTGGTCCATCGCGACTTCGCGGCGCCACGGCGGGGGGGCGCGAGCAGAACGAAAATTGCTTTCCCCCAAACAGCTGCCGCGGACAGCGGGCGCGCGTTTGTTTTTCCATACCTAGGCTCTGCCTAGAAGGGTTCTTACTCGGTGTGCTTAAAAAGCCGGGCAGTGCAAAACGCCCCCCCCCCCCGGGCGGTTCCCCCGGCATCCGCTCCGCGGTTCCCCCAGTGACGTGCCCTTAGCCTAGCGTTGCTTATAACATCTTAGCTTAGCTAATTTCATTTTAGCTTAGCTCAGCTTCATCTTAGCTCAGGTTTATCTTAGCTTCGCGTACCTTCATCTTATCTTCGCTGAGCTTTAGCAAAGCAAAGCACACTCTAGCATAGCAGAGCGTAACGCAGCACAGCGCAGCGCAGCATATCTTAGCAAAGCCCAGAAGCACAGCATAGAGCAGCACAGGAAAGCATATCATAGCGCAACTCAGCACAACACAGCATAGCACCGCGCAGCATAGCATAGCATAGCATAGTATAACAGAGCGCAGCTTAGCATCGCATGGCATAGCATACCATAGCTTAGCATAGCACAGCGCAACATGACATAGCATAGGTTACCATATAATTGCATAGTGTAGCATATCATAGCATAGCGCAGCATAGTATATCATAGCATAGCATAGAGCAGCATAGCATGGCCTATCATAGCACAGCATAGCATAGCAGCTAATGCTGCTTTCCTAGGGGCTCCAACTTCTAGGCAGGGTCGCACTGGGGCGCTTAAATTGTCGCGGGCATCAGCGGCAGGAGGGCCTGGCCCAGGGGAGAGAGGAGGGGGGGGGGGGAGGGGGAGGAGAGGGGGGGGGAATGGAGGAGGAGGAGCAGGAAGGAGGAGGAAAAGGAGGGGGATGGGAGGAGTGGGAGGGCAGGGGGGGGGGCGGGGGGGGGGGGGGGGGGGGAGAGTGGGGGGGAGGGGGGGGGGGGAGGGGGGGGGGGAGGTGGAGCAGGAGGGGGAGGAGGGCCCGGCGCGAGGACTACCGCCCTCCTCCGAGAACGCCGGCGCTCTCGCGCCTCTATCCCCCTGCATCCTTCCCCCCCTTCTTTTGCTTCGCCTGTCTGCTTGGAACCACCCAGCCCCGCTGGATTGATGAGGGCCCCGGGGCCCGAACTTGCTTGGCAGGGGGGCAATGCTTCCTGTCCGCGTCCTTCTCCCTCGCCCTGATTATGCCATCCCTTCTCGGTCCTCCCTCTGTCTCGCCACCGTCCATGTTATCCGTATTATCCTCCATATTATTCTCCTCCTCCCTCCTCCTTTTCGCCCCCCATCGTCCTTCTCCTCAGTCTCCTCCTCATGCCCCCCCCCCCCCCCCGCCCTGCGCTGCTCCTCATGTCTCGCCCCGCGCCCGCGGCGTTCCGCTCGCCCCCCATGCGCCCCGACGACGCGGGGGCGACAGGGAGGA